AAAGGTTCCCTTGCTCGAAAGCCTGTTGAATCCGACTCAAGGGTTGCGGTGCTCATCTCCGTTTCAAAGCCGAAGAGCCAGCGCTGTCCAAAGACATTTCCGTGGTCATGTGGCCGGCATGACTAACCACCAAGGCGCACGGAACGCAGCTTTATTACCTGCGCAGAAAAGCCCTCTTGGATAGTTTTGCCTAGTTTGTGGAAGGCCAAGAGAGTGGGAACTTCCCTGACCTCTTCAGGCAGGCCATTCTACAAGGTGGAAGCCACAAGGGAGAGAGCGCGGGTGTCCGGGCTCTTGTTGATTTTGCCCACTGGCAGGTGCACCACCTGCAGAAACCGCTTAATGTGCCATGTGAATACTTGATGCTCTGCCTCCTGTTCTTCCTGGTGGTTCTAATAGCCTTCTAATATCCGAATGCAGTGGTTATTGGGTGTCCCGTTTTGTCGATTGTCCTGACTCATTCTGTGTAATCTGCCTTGAGTCCTTGTGAGAAAGATCGACTATAAAGAGCGTAAATTAAACAAAGAAGATGTGAAACAAATAAACCAGAGCTTGCCCATGGGGACTCATTGGTAAGTGAAAGGTGCTCTGCACAAGGTCAAAGGTGTGCATTTTTTTTTTTACAAAGGAAAGAGGGGAGGGGTTGCAACTCATGGTCAAAACGATGGGGAGTGGGACTGGGGTGTATATTTTGTCAGTTCCTCCCGGCCCCCAGACCTCCCCTCGTTCCCCACCAGGCCCCAAGCAGTAAGACCCTGTGATGGACAGCTTCTAGTTCCGCCTTCCAGGCATCCCAGCCAATCCCTGCCTCCAGGGGGAGTAGGCCGATACCAAGCGGCCTCAGCCAATGAGAGGCTGTGGGACCTCTGTGGCGGCGGGGGTGGGGGATGGGGGCAGGAGAGAAATTTGGAGGGAAAATCCACCGTGGCCTCAGAGGCTCAGTGGGGGGGGGGGTTTGGGGGGGGACGGGGAGGAGGAGGGGGGGGGGGGAGTGGGCAGG